CTTACTATGACCTTAAGTCTACTCATATGTATTATTGGTATTACTAACTAGAGGCAGAATCAGAAATTATGGTAAATAAAAGTAAAATTCAAGAGATAAATTGTTCTGAATAGTGCATTTTATTACATTTTTTTCGCGATATCTGACTGCATTTTGTGTCTTTTGGGTCTTTTTAAGAGTCCATGCAGATATGAATACTTGATCTAGAGCTCTGAAATTTTCAATACCAGAATTTGGTAGCACTATGTCTTGATATCCTGTGTTTGGACTCTAACCAAATCACAGTTGTTGAGAAAAAAATTCATAAGTAGCAGTTTTAATTCAAAATTAGTTGAAACGGCACTCAAGACAGCTTTCCTCATTTTTGAAAGCCGATAGATCGGCAAGCATTTACACCATGATCTTGAATCTGCGCATACATATTCTTAATGGCACTATCTCATTGCCCAGATATTATGGAACATTGTTGTCAAAAGGTAAGGGTGATCCGAGAAAAAGTTGGTAAATTGAAACAGCCTATTAGATTTCATTATGATACATTGTACAAAATTGAAGTCGTATATATAAAATATGTAGAGTCCTATATTTTAATAATAAATGAATTACATTGTCAAGTAACAAGTGAAGATGTTTTAAATGCATTGATTTGCTTTCTATCAATACAAGTTTTTAATTGTATGCTGCAAAATGATAACATTGACCACGCCCACTTTCCAGGGGTAGGGTACTTTAAAGTCATATTAAAAATCATAAATAGTACATTATCATTATTATAATTGTATTACAATATCAAACAAAGCTTGAATTAGTTTTTAGAAAACAATTTTGAGCTATTTAAGCTGCCATCTTTTGCTGGAAGCTACAAATATAAGATACGCGAGACTTAAAAATGACTAAAATTGCATATTTTTTTCCTATTAATTGCAATATTTCTGAGACTAACACAGATATCGGCCTATAACTTTAGGATATTATTCATCTTTGGACTAGTAATGTGTGCTGTAGAAAGCAGAACAATAGTAACTATATCCTTTATGTTATGAAATAGTCTTATAGTACCCCCTGAAATCGCAGGAATTGAAGTCCAATTCAGCCGTGAAAATTGTTTTTACCACTTTAAAGGCCATCACCTTATATTTTCTTACACCTACTAGGTTACTCTAACATACTGCATTGCCAAAAGTTACTTCTTGCAAACTTCCGGCAAAGCTGTGCCAGCATCTGATACATTAAGAGAAACGTGTGTTCAAAAAGTTCTCCATATCGATACCCCTCCTTTCAAGAAAATTGCCGAAATGCGTGTGTTATATGTCAGTTTTGCGTCGATAAATGTAAAAAATCAGATTTTCTACTCCAAAATGTTCTGATCTGGAGTTATTGTAACCATACATTTTCACACAGACCTAGCTAGTTTAGTTGGAATGCAATAAAGTAAGCCATGCGCTTTGCAGAGTGAAAAATGTCTATCATTTTCTTGGTAATCGAAGAAATAGCATAAGGCCAGCTTGTTTTAGCAGCTAATATTCAAATGCCCTTGAGTTCATAAACCATCGTTATATCATGTGGAAACGGGTGCAATCAATCAATAAAGCAATATGAGCCAATTCAATATACAGTATTTACAAATGTTACATTGTATCGATTTATTTCTATGCTAAGTTTCATTTTAAAAAAAACCTTCGGATAATCTGGAATTTCTGGAAGGATATCTGGCATCTCACCGAACCTATTCAGAAAATAATAACAGAAATTAAATGCTGAACACAGTTGAATTTGTTCAGTAAAAAGATTCGTTATCTGTTCAATGAAAGTTGAATTTGAATTTGTTTAGTAAAAGATTCGTTATCTGTTCAATGCAACATAAGAGATCCCACGTTTCATTCTATCAAATCTACCCCATCCATGATGCATCATGTAGGAACAGGAAAGGTATGGTTTTAATAGATTTGTGACTTATCGCAAATCTGTTGCAAAGAAATAACACTTTACTTGTAACGAAAACATCACGTTTGTTGGTAAGTTCAGTATAAGCATTTTAATAGCTGTATAAATAAATATTGTATTATTGTAGAACAAGATTTGAGCCAGGCCACGGGAAAAGGGGTCTTATCACAGATTTTTCAATATTTTGTTTTTTTGTTTATCTTAAAAAGCACAAAAAGACCTTTCAAATGAGCCATGACTTATGACTATATATAGACCAAAGAGTCGGATTTTAATTTAGCACATTTTCCTCTTAATCTTGGGCACATTTTTGGCTCTAGCACAATTTTAATTTTTGTGATAAGACCGGTTTTCCTATGGCCAGGCTCATTTTATGAACTGACATTTTGACTTTGAAATGACCAAACTTCCTAATGAAAATCAAGACAAAGCCAAAATTACGAAAATCAAATCAAAAAACACAACAAAGACAGCTAAATGCTATTGGCTTATATCATACGAACAATGACCGTTTTTAAAAAGTGTCCAAAACTTCATGATAACCCATCGTATACACAGATTCAAAGTACGGCCTGACTGCGCATAGGAGTCATTTCACTATTTCTATTCTTTGTTTAATCATTAAAGACATTTTCGCTGCTATTTTTCAACAAGTCTAGTCTGCTCTTCTCTGTTTCATTGATCGGCTCTCTATGTATGCTTTGGTAACATACCGATATCAAGAATGATTAATGCTTCTCTTCAACAAAGTACAATTGCTTCTAGAAACAAACATAGAAACAACACATTTAGTTCATATGATGTAACAACTAAACTTCAAGCATCTTCTGTAATACTAAATACTAATAATACTAAAAATAATCAGGTAATAGGAATGGTATTGCAGCTGGGTATTGCAATAATACTGAAAAGAATCAGGAAATAGGAATGGTATTGCAGCTGGGTATTGAAATAATACTAAAAAGAATCAGGAAATAGGAATGGTATTGCAGCTGGGTATTGCAATAATACTGAAAAGAATCAGGAAATAGGAATGGTATTGCAGCTGGGTATTGAAATAATACTAAAAAGAATCAGGAAATAGGAATGGTATTGCAGCTGGGTATTGCAATAATACTAAAAAGAATCAGGTATTAGGTATGGTATTGCAGCTGGGTATTGCAATAATACTAAAAAGAATCAGGTATTAGGTATGGTATTGCAGCTGGGTATTGCAATAATACTGAAAACAATCAGGTAATAGGTATGGTATTGCAGCTGGGTATTGCAATAATACTAAAAAGAATCAGGTATTAGGTATGGTATTGCAGCTGGGTATTGCAATAATACTGAAAACAATCAGGTAATAGGTATGGTATTGCAGCTGGGTATTGCAACAATACTAAAAAGAATCAGCTATTAGGTATGGTATTGCAGCTGGGTATTGAAATAATACTAAAAAGAATCAGGAAATAGGAATGGTATTGCAGCTGGGTATTGCAATAATACTAAAAAGAATCAGGAAATAGGAATGGTATTGCAGCTGGGTATTGCAATAATACTGAAAACAATCAGGTAATAGGTATGGTATTGCAGCTGGGTATTGCAATAATACTAAAAAGAATCAGGTAATAGGAATGATATTGCAGCTGGGTATTGCAATAATACTGAAAACAATCAGGTAATAGGTATGGTATTGCAGCTGGGTATTGCAATAATCCTAAAAAGAATCAGGTAATAGGAATGGTATTGCAGCTGGGTATTGCAATAATCCTAAAAAGAATCAGGTAATAGGAATGGTATTGCAGCTGGGTATTGCAATAATACTAAAAAGAATCAGGTAATATGTATGGTGTTGCAGCTGGGTATTGCAATAATACTGAAAAGAATCAGGTAATATGTATGGTATTGCAGCTGGGTATTGCAATAATACTGAAAAGAATCAGGTAATAGGAATGGTATTGCAGCTGGGTATTGCAATAATACTGAAAAGAATCAGGTAATAGGAATGGTATTGCAGCTGGGTATTGCAATAATACTAAAAAGAATCAGCTATTAGGTATGGTATTGCAGCTGGGTATTGCAATAATACTAAAAGAATCAGGTAATATGTATGGTGTTGCAGCTGGGTATTGCAATAATACTAAAAAGAATCAGGTAATAGGAATGATATTGCAGCTGGGTATTGCAATAATACTGAAAACAATCAGGTAATAGGAATGGTATTGCAGCTGGGTATTGCAATAATCCTAAAAAGAACAGGTAATAGGTATGGTATTGCAGCTGGGTATTGGAATCATTTTGGACAGTCACATCCTTAACCATGGACATTTCCTCACTATAAACTCAACATGTCCTCACCATTAACTCAACATGTCCTCACCATAAACTCAACATGTCCTCACCATAAACTCAACATGTCCTCACCATAAACTCAACATGTCTCATCAAACTAATATGTTTTCCTCCCATTGAGGTCCCCGGGATAATAAAATTATCAATTCGACCCTCCAAAAATGTCTATTGAGAATGCATAGCTCAGAATAATGTAAACCCCGTCATATCATACACCTTAATCATATTATACATCAAAATTGAGTAAAGTTGATGTCTGTGTCAACGCACCTGCCATCAATTTGCTGTTGTAATCATTATTTCATTGTTTAGAGGTCATGTTCAAATAAACTCCAATTACATTTTGGAGACATGCTGACAATTTAAGATTTGACCAAATGGGAGACCTAGAGTCATTGCATTACTTATTGAACACCCTACCTGTATTTCGAATTAATGAAAATTCCCAACGATCATTCAAATTACTTTTATTGGTTTTATATCAAAACAGAGCTTTCTAAGCATTGCTACTTTCTTCTGGATTCCATCATTTACTTAGTCGGGTGAATTGTTATTTAAAGTGAATTGTGACAACTAAATGTTGCTTTATTATAAAAATCGATAGCAAGAGATAGAGGTATTGTCATCATGAAAAAATGAAATTTGGGTTGAGAATATAATTTCTATTTCCATCATTGGCAGATGTAATGATTGAATTGACCCTTTTACGTCATGTGTTCCAGGAAGGTCTAAAGAAGGCATTATCATGTCATGATAGAGCCACACAGGCAGAGTGTTTGTGCAGTTTCGCAGATATTCATCGCCACAGGGGAGACTTTGAGGTAAAAGGGATTTTTACAAGGCATTATATCTTTCAAAATATCACCACCTATCATTTGTTACAAACGTCGACTGAGGAACGTAGTTACAGACATCCATTTGTCCCATGGGTTGAAAACGTTTAATGTTAAACTGAAAAATACTGAAGATAAGTTGAAATGATAGTACAGGGTGGCCCAGAAAATGCCACCCACTAATTTTTGAATAAATCTCTCAACAATTAAGAAATCTTCATGATTTTTATGCGTAGACAGTTATTCTAAAATTAGTGGGTGACATTTTTGGGGTCTCCCTGTACCATTGAACTTATGACGTCATTCTAAAATTTTAGAGATGTTATCCAAGATATGAGGCTGCGTTGAGCCTAATGATGGAAGTGGGCAACAAAGAGGGGCAAGCAGTGTGTCTGCTAGGCATGGCTAAGGCCCTGGTGGCGTCCAAGAACATCACCAAGGTATGCGAGTGTAAGGTACGCACGATGTAGTGGTTCAAAGGGGCATGACTCCATAGCTTTGGCATACATAGAATTTGCTAAGTACACTCCCCTCCATGAGTTTGGCATCTCTAACTCCCTCATTGAACTCCGCGTTAAAGCCTCTTTATGTTTGAATTTTTATTTACATAACCTGTGAAGAAAATATTATAATATTGATGTGAATGTAACTTGACTTCATTTCCAATGCCTCTAAATTTTCCCCATTTTTTCTAAAAAATAATTTTCACCTCCTGTGTTATTTCAATGGGAGAGGTTTTTTGAAAAGCAATTTTGACTTTAAAGACCTATAACTTTGTTGAACCTGAAGAAACGTAGCGTATCAATTTTTGTTAAATAAAGTTAGCAAATTCAATTGCCTATACATATACATATTTTTTGCAAGGGCTTGGATTGATTGATATTCTGTCATATGAATTTGTCATCAATTTTCGACCTATTGTAATTGAGGAAGAAAATTTGGAGGTTTTGGAAATAAAGCCAAGGTATGTTTCCATCAATATCATAAGTATTTTCATCGCAGGTTGAGTAAATAAAAATTCAAACGTAAAGAGGCTTTAACACGTACGTAGTTCAGTGGGGAGCTACAGTAAGGTTGCCAAACTTATGGAGGGGAGTGTACGTTTGGTCAAATGTTAAAATAAGCCTGTTAAATTGTTGAAGCTTCCGTGTATTAACTCTTTCAAGAGATTGTGGTTCCAATGAGGTTCCAATAAAATATAATGCTGATTTTGCTCTACTCTCTACCAACTAAATACAATATTCTTCAAAATAAAATACCACAGAGTGGGCCAATAGAAGTGTTGCTTTTATAAATTAATTTCTATTCAGATAGACTTTAAACTCCCTCATCTCCCATATGTCATATATGCTTGGCAATCTTTCTTAACTTTATTTTGAAAGTAAGTTCTACTGTCTCATGTTGTGGCACTATATACAGGTATATACTATGTTGGTGCCTGAGACGATCATTCACTCCTTCAGCTTCCCGCACTTTCAACTTTCCTTCACTAGAAATACTGTCTCGTGTTTCATTCACTGGTGATCCACTCGATTACGATGGTTACCGTAACCGTTTCTGTAACAAAATGTCTGAACCTCGAAGGTACGATTTTTTCCTTATTTCACACGTTGTAGGCAGAATTCCCACGACATTTTTATCTCAGACGTGTATCACTATCATATGTGTACACATTTGCGAACAAATAGTTCAGAAGGCAAGAGAATCGTCGATATGATTTCTCACTTAAGTTACATAAACGGTATTTCGAAAAACAGTTAAGATCTTCACTTTTAACCCATATCGTTTATGTAACTTAAGTGAGGAATTGAATCGACGATTCTGTTGTCTTCTGAGCTATATTTTGCAAACATGTACATTTTCTAAAATATAAGATACTGATACACGTTTGTGAGAAAGATGTCGTGGGGATTCTGCCTACAACGCGCGAAATAAGGAAAAAAAGAAAAAGCGTACCTTTGACATTCCGACATTTTGTTACCGAAACGAAACGAATCGTTTCGGTAACCAGCGTGATCGAGCGGATCACCAGTGTCATTTGCATTTTGGTCTTTCGAAGACATGGCTAATTAGTAATTACTTATTAACTATTTTGTGATCCCTACAATTATTATGAATTAAAAACAAGGTAAAATAGTATATAACGACTACAACTAAGAATAATAAAAAACGCCCATTGCGACATCTTTTGATTGGTATATGATAGGAAACGGTTGGAGTAAACTTTTTACTTTCATTTTCCACTTATTTGTTACTCTGACAAACCTAACTTCGTTTATCTGTATGTGTTTAGGCGCTGGAAATCAACGCCCGTGCTGTAGACATAGCTGAGGGCATCGGGAACAAATTGCAAATCTTGCGATGTCGTATGCACATGGAAGAACTATACCGGACCCTGGGAGATCTGGAGCTAGTTGCTGAGCAGCTGAGTATCTGCAATGATTTGCTGGAGGATATGGGACTCTTCTGCGGGGTGTGCAACCAAGTTATGGGTGATAATCCCGACAAACTTGGCTTTCTTCCATGCTTCCACTTATTCCACTCCAGGTAAACTATAGCAACTGTTGATGTTGATTACTTTTGTTTTGGATCACGATATAGACATCGCATTCGCATTACACATAGTTGAGGGAATAAAATGCATGTAACTCTTCCATATAAGAGCTGACTAAATATATACTTGTGCAAATACAGCTGAGAAACAGAAACTGGCTCAAGCACTTACAAACGATAATGTGCATTTTATATGATATTCTATTCATGTGATGGATTACAATATTCATTTTTCATAAGCAGCATGAAACGTTACAATAATTGAATAATTGACATGACGTAACGGTTATATAAGATTACTATGGATGAGAGAGTATAAAAGCAAATTGTGTTTACCCTGGTTTAAAGGCAGAATCAGATCTAGCAAGTATTACTCCGATCATCATCTGGACGAAAATTGCTACAATTTTAGAATATTTTGGGCTCATATTGCCATATCATATTTTGGGCTCATATTTTCATGTCATATTTTGGGCTCATATTGCCATGTCATATTTTGTGCTCATATTGTCATGTCATATGTTGGGCTCATATTGTCATATATTCTTAGGGCATGTCTAATAATCATATGCAATCACTGCGGAATAAAAGTCCATATCTCAAGACGTATCGAGACCCATTTTGTGAAAAACTAGCATAATTTAAGCATTTGTCATTCTAATATAAAAGTGATACATTTGTAGCATTTATCTTATTTATACCTGAGAAACAATACAAGACGTTGATACACTGATTTCATAAATTTTTGGTTCTGATAAGACAAATGACCTCAAAGTTATAGCTTAGAAATCTAAATCATATATTTAGAATCATTTTGTATTATTTTTTGTTGCATTGTGTACTCCAAACTGCGAAAAATTGGGATTTTATTTTTGGTAATTTTTTTACCTCTGTTAATGGTAGGCATAATTCAGCCTAAAAGCCGGAAGTATATTAAACGGTTATAATAAAAATTATTAGGGAACATATGTAGGTATGTTAATGCTAAGTCAACTATCGCTGCGCTATAGTGTGCTACCAGCTTCTTTATTAGGCGTCCTAGAGATTTCATACCATGGACTATTTCCCTATTTTGCACTTTTAGAATATAGTAAATAACTTAAATAACTTCACCAGTTGATAACATATCACTGATCCTTTTGGGATATTATATTTGAGCTTTTAAGGAATATATTGGTATATCAAATTTGTCAGTCCCTATAGATCTGATTCCAATTTGCAGAATATCTATGAAATCACGGCTTAATTTTGCAAAAAATCTAAGCAAATGAGAAATTGTTGTGTTCATGAATACTTTCATTAAATTTCAGGTGTATGGTACATATACTAACAGATGGGAGTTCAGGTGGTTCCCTGGACAGTGGAGGGAAATGGCCCAGTTGTCCCACGTGCGCGTCACTACCTACTGATCTTCCCATCAGTCCTACAGCACACATACCCAAACTCACGTTGGTCAAGAACCCAAAGTTTACAAAAACAGGGGGTCAAATGGCCAATCATGTTCATGGGAATCATGCAGCTCATCATAACCCGTCAGACCATCAGCATATTATTAAGTTGGACCATTCCCCATGTGGAAACCACGTGAACATTTTCCATCGACAAGATGATAATGATGCGAGCGAGAGACGCCGGCGAACTGAGCAACATATGTCGTTATATGACAACGATGCAGACAACCAAGATATTAATTATTTATAAAAATATAATAGAATGTAATATTTCAAATAAAAGCTTGTCATGTCTTCTTATGTTCAATCGTGGCTTATTGAAATTAATAGAGAGGTTGAACTACACGTATCTGGCCGTGTAAAAGGGAAAAAGTCACTGTTGTCGGATGAACAAAACATAGCCCAGTGTCGAGCATATTATGGTTTTCGTGGCAAACATCAGGATAACCAACTCGTTAGTAGCTATACATGTATCTTATGGCCTGGTCACATTTGCAATTTTCAAAACTGAATGCAGTTTTGAACAAAATACGCATCAACCGGGTGCCGATCGATCAAATGTGACTACGACAGTATTTTCAGCATGTACTAAAACCCTTCGACCTAGGACTTACTGAGTGTCGAGAATTCTTTGGAATGTATTTTAATAAAAACATTCGACCTTCGATTTCTCTGATCCCGTAGTAAATGCAGGTGTCAATGTTAATTCAGAAAAATTACTAGATAACGGCAACGCCAAGGCATAGGCAATCCCATCGAACATACCTGAAAAGTGTTTACCCTTATGATAATCTCAGTATGCAACCCTGACCAAGGGATGACTCTTTTATACCATGATAATTCATAAACAAATTACAACCCCTCCCTAGTTATAGCCTCTATTAATACTTCACACCGGAGAATATAACTGATATTGAAAAAATCGTTCATGTACAGTCCCCTCCATAAGTTTGGTCACCCTAACTTCCTCATTGGATTACATGCTAAAGCCTATTTATGTTTGAATCTTCATTTCCATAATCTGTAAAGAAAGGTCTACTTTTAGGGCTTGAAATATAAAGACAAATCATTTCGAATACCTCCAATTTTTCTCAATTTCTTTCAACAATTACAATAGGTCGGATCGATATTGATGACAAACCAATAGGAACTGATAGGTTAGATAAAATGATTTTCAAAATTATTTTGAAGCGCTGTAACTTCGCAAAGTAAACTTAGCATTTAGCGTGCAAAAATGTTAGCCCGAACCAACCATTTCCAATTGGTTTACATGGGAATGACGGTTTTCAAAAATTCATCAAATTTGTCATCAATTTCCGACATACAAAAAAATAAAAAACGCAACATTAAAATAGTGCCCCGCATACCACGTGGTCACGTTACCATGGTAACCAGTTTAACAGCAGTTATGCATGGATCACCATGAATTTTTGCAAGATGGTCAGCAGATAGTTTGGACACATTCTGGCCAAAATATCAAGCACATTATCCAAATATCAATGAAATGCCAGACTCATTCCTGGAACTTATGGACCACCCTGTACTGTAATTGAGAAAAAATTGGAGTCAAATGGAGTCAAGACATTTCCACCTTTATCGTAAGTATTTTCATTGTAGGTTATTTCAATAAAAATTCAAACATAAAGAGGCTTTAACACGTAGTCTGATGAGGGAGTCAGGGTTGCCTAACTTATGGATGGACGTTTATGTAATGTCCATATAGAATACAAGTATGTATCACCATGATTCTCTTTATCATTTTTGAATCAAGGGATCACAATTTATTCTTAGTTATTCTACTATCACAATACAATAAGAAATCTTGATAAAAAATATTCTATGATAATAATAATTAGAGACAATAACATATTTTGAACCATAGTCAAATTGAAGGGTAGGCTGTACAGAGTGTCATCAGCTATTGCCCCGAACCGGTCCGTCTTCTCGTTGCAAGCAGATTGCTCCGAACCGGTCCGTCTTCTCGCTGCAAGCAGGATGAACTTCTTTGTCACAAAGTTTGGCATTTTTTATAAAATCAAACGCGCGTCATTGAAACTCACAAGATGTAAATAGCATGTCATTAACATCATACCTTGATGGGGAGAAATAGATCTTATATGTTAGAAGTACTAAATAAAAGTTATCGTGAAAATGAGACAGTCGTTCTCGAGAGAAAAGAGCATAAATGCGCATTTAGAGAGTTTTGGTCCGTTTAAAAATCTGTAAAAAATTGGGGTACTAAAAGCATCGGGAGGCATCATATATTTCAAATTAGACACGAGGAAGTCAATATTGAGCAAGTTATGGCTGTTTTAAATTCAAATAAATCCGTTAACCCGTACCGGTCCAGCTTTTGACCCGTACCGGTCAATTTTCGTTAGCTGCGTATACCAAGGGTGAAAAATAGGCCTACAGATAAGAATCTGGTCGGATTTATGTCCAGTCAGTGAGGCACATTTCGGCATTTTGAGCATATTTTGTACATGACCATACAATGAAAGAACATTGAACAAGGTTAAATTGAGCCAAATGTGATTCTAAATCCATGCTGAATGATTGAGTTATTTAAAACATACATTTGGTTGGGTTACCTTTTTTTGGCTTACCCTGTACAACACAAGGAATTAGAATTTGCGTATCTAATGCCTTGGTCACATTTGCCCCGATTTTACGGCGCACTCAATCGGGCGCCGGCCGATGGATCGGAGCGAATGTGGCCCAGGCATTAGCTGCGCATTATACCGTATACTTCATAGTTCACTGTGTAGGATATTGTTATCCCATCGAACGAAGTTCGGAGGGATATAGGGAATGCCCCCGTCCGTCCGTCCGTCCGTCCGGTCGTCCGTCCATCCGGGCAATAACTCAAATACCGCTGGCCCGATTTTGTTCATATTTTGTACACATATACCTGATGGGGGTAGAAGTTCTGCTCGAAAACCGATTTTCAAAATGGCCGCTTATTATGAAAAAGCGGCCATTTTAGTGGCGATTTTACAGTTATTTAGGTACTGCATATAAAACTGCAATAGCGATATGCTTTAAATGTAAAAAAGTTATTTAGGGCATTGATTAAGCTAGAAATGTAAATATAGAAGAAATACATGGCAGCCATCTTGAAAAATGGCTGCCTTTGCACGTCATTTAACGATTTTTGCTGTAATTTGAAAAGTATTGGAGCGATTTTGTTCATATTTGGTATGTGAATATTTTTAGCATGGCACAATGTCCAATGGCATTTTGGGAAGTAGGCGGCCATTTTGAAAATGACCGCCATTTTTATGTGTGTTATTATTTACTGTAATTCAAAAAGTAGTGGGGCGATTTTGTTCAAATTTGATATGTCAACACTTTAAGCATGGCACAATGTCTAATGACATTTTGGGTAGTAGGCGGCCATTTTACAAAATGACCGCCATTTTTACGTGTGTTATCTAACATTTTTTACTGTAATTCGAAAAGTATTGGAGCGATTTTGTTCATATTTGGTATGTGAATACTATAAGCATGGCACAATGTCTAATTTTGTGTCGTAGGAGGCCATTTTGAAAAATGGCCGCCATTTTAACGTGTTATTTTACATTTTTTACTATAACTCAAAAAGTACAAAGTAGTAGGGCGATTTTGTTCATATTTTATATGTGATACTATAAGCATGACAAACTGTCTAATGGCACTTTGGGTAGCAGGCGGCCATTTTGAAAAATGACCACCTTTTTTACATTTTTTACTATAACTTGAAAAGTAGTGAAGCAATTTTGTTCAAATTTGATATGTGAATACTCATGAGCCTTGCACACTGTCTCATGACACTTCGGGTAGTAGGCGGCCATTTTAAAAAATGGCTGTCATTTTTACATTTTTATTTTGAAAATGGTGGCCTTTCTTATGTGTGTTGTTTATGATATTTGCGATATAATTCGTTTGTAAAAATGCCAGCCATTTCTGTTTGATGGGATTCGCTACGCTTTGGCGTTGCCGTTGTTCTGGCTACAGATATTCGCTAATAAAAATATCTAGAAATTAGACCAGCTCTAGGTTATGCCTTGGTCACATTTGCTCCGATTTTCACCACAGCGCCCGGGCGATTGAGTATTTTGTTCAAAATTGAATACGATATTGAATTTTCTCGATTTTTATACGATTTACAAAAACAAAAAAGCCGATGGGTCTGAAACGAGGTGGCTCCATGATGGTATCCTAGACGTGAGTTTTTTGTTAATTTTTAGATTCAATGAATTACCATATGTAACTTTACTCAAGGCATCGTATCCAGACATTATTCAAGCATTCAGTCATAATTAATTTGAAAAGGATAAACGTATGTTTTACAACCAAGTACATTTTGCTTGGAAATGATTATTTTGACCCACTGCAATGCAATACGTGTTAGGGCGATGGATTGCGGTTGCGTCAACATTACCCACCCACCCCCAAAGATCGAGTAGCCTAATATTGAGAACTATTGATGATGTAATAAATTATCTTGATGATGAGCAAGAGCATGGTATTATTTTGGCAATAGATTGCATTAAAGCGTACGATAGTATTTCTAAAGAATTCATGTATGATTCCCTATCAATTTTTGGATTTGGGCAATCCTTTATACAATGGACCAAAACTTTGAACAATAATTGTATTAGTTACATTAATGGTTGGTTAAGTGGTGAAATATTATTAGAGCGAGGTATAAATTAAAGCAGTTTTTATATTTAATGCAGAGTTTTATTCTCTCTGACACTATGTTAAAAAGAATAAACACATTGTTTTTTAAATTCATCTATCTCCGCTCCTGTATTATAGCGGCAGAGATTTTTTTCTTGTAAAGTAAGGCATGATAAAACATTGTTGGGGTACGCTTGCCAAATGATGAGGTCAAAATTCTGCAATATGCAGATGACACCACCATTTTTGTTAGAGATATCAACTCCTTCAAGAGTGTCTTGAATCTTGTTGATGAATTTTCGCTTATATCAGGTTTAAAGATGAACAAAGTTAAGTCTGAGGCATTATGGCTAGGTAAATGGAAGTTCAACAATTATACAATAGGAAATGTAAAATGGAAATTATTTCCAAGTAACAATGTGAAAAGTTTAGGTATTTTGTATAGCACTACTCAAAATGTTACTGAAACAAGAGAGAATTTAGAACCACGATTTGCTAGATGTGAACACATATATAATGAAAATGTGGTTCATGAGAAACTTAATAATGTATGGTAGAGTCACATTGGTAAAAGCCCTGCTGGCATCAAAGTTTT